TACTCATTTAGTTATCAAACTAAAAATGATTTCTCTTTTCCCCAAATCACATATTTCCACAGTACCTTCATGACACTCACATTTTTGCATGGTTGTGTTGTCAGGCTGGAGTGGAAAACCTATGAAGACAGTGGTGGTGTTTTCTTTCTGTGTCTGTCCTCCTGCCTGGAATTAAGGTTCTACCTCCAAATCACTTGATTACTTTTCATCAACAAAATGGCCTGAGAGGTTGTCTGTCTGGTATAGATGGATTTCAGAGTAAACAGCCCAATATATTTGATTTCCAAATTGCCCTCCCCACTCACTTGAAAGTGTGAAAGAGATGAAATGTTACTCCTCGTCTGAGATATATGATCACCATGATACCTATCATCATATGATAGTGATGATTAAGCCACATTACCTGTGGTGGGGTGGAGGTGTGGGAACAAAGTGATAGCACAGAGCAAACAATGTGCATAACTGAGGTCCAATCATTCACCCTCTCACTAAGGAAATACTGTTTAATTAATATAACTTAAGAACATGAGCTAATTGCTAAGAAGGTTCAACAGAGTATAACTTCATGCTCCCATATTCTCAGTTCAGTCTCTGGTTCTTTTCACATAAATTGTTATTATCAATGGTATCCTTACATCTGCCTTTGAAACAGGACTACAACATGTTGATCAAGTAATCTCTATTTAGTAGACTAATTTCAACTCATCCATTATGTTTGAATTTGTGAAACTTTCCTAATAACAACCTATAGGCAATGTCAAACACATAGAAATAGACAGCAAGTAGGTCACCTGCACATGTGATATGAGCTTCCTCCTTTGCAGAGCAAGATTGGTGTTTCCAGGGGTCAGAAGGACACTGCCAGAGAGAGGTATCAGTTTCTCGACAGCGGATTCCATCCACCCAGTGGGGTCTAGAACCTTCTCTGGAAGGAACCAAGAAATTCAGAGTCCCACTGTCCCCGCAGCCAAGCTGTCTGCAGATCATGGACAAGGTCACAGCTTCCATGGGGCTGTGGCACACACTGCCCCAGGTGTTGTTGTAGAAAACCTCCAGCCACCCAGCACACTCCTGGTCCTCACTCACCAGCCTGAGAGCTAGGAACTCTGAAACCAAGAGGAGGAAAACAGGGCATGTTGAGCATTCAACTATTACTGGTATTTTTTTGTTATTCCTAGGAAGTGAGTGCTCATTGCTGACTCTGGTGAGAAAGTGCCCACTAGGTGAAAGACTGGATGTTTTGTCCCTTTAATTAATTTTGCTAACTTGTGCCTTCTTTATACCAATGTAATATTAACAAACGCATAGGCAGGGACATTGATGTGAGTGTTGACTCTGCAGAAAGTAAACTCTGATCTACTATCTGTTATCTATCTATATTCATCTATTATTTGACTAATCATATGACAGATCTTAGAAAAGGAACATAGACAGAGGGGTGGCAGAATAGTGGAGCTCCAAATATGTCCACTTCTCGACCCTGAGAGCCTGTGGGATATTTTACCTCACATTGCAAAAGGGCTTTTCAGATAAGATGAAGACAAGGATCCTTTCTCTAGGCACAGTGGGAGATGCCTGTAGTCTCTGTTGCCTGGAAGCTGAAGCAGGACCATCCCATGTTCAAAGCTAGCCTCAGCAACTCAGTGAGGCTCTATGCAACTTAATGTGACCCTGTCTCACAGTAAAAAATAAATAAAACGGCTGTGGCTGTGGCTCAGTTTTTGAGTCCTTTGGGTTTAATCCCAGTACCAAAAAAAAAAAAAAAAAACAACAAAAAAACCCACAAAACAAAAAACAAACAAAACAATTAACAAAAGAATGTTTTCACTGTGAAATTATCCTAGATAATCCTGGATAGGATGTCCCAATATAATGACATTCTTACACCTGTATCCTCAAAAACAGATAAGCCTTTCTGGCCCTCATCAGAAGGAGATGAATGTGGAATTGTGAGAGAGGTGAGCTGTTTTGGTTTTGAAGAAGGAAGGGGTCATACAAGGAATTTAGGCAACTTCTAGAAGGTGAAAAAGGCAAGAAAATTAGTCTTCCCACAGTTTCACCTATTGCAGCCTGCTGAAACTTAGTATATATCCCAGAGAGACCCAGGTCAGGTTCTTACCTACACACTGTAAGATGATAAATTTGATTGTTTTCAGTCACTCAGTCTATGGTAACTTGTTACAGCAGAAGTAAAAAATTAATTCAGTTGGTCAGGATGTTTTACCCACATGTCACAGAACAATGATGACTGCTTGATACTGCAGAGAATGACTGTGTCAGGGACAGTGCTGAGAAGGAAGGAGCAGAAGCTAGCTGCTTCAGCAGGAAATAGAAATATTTCACATTCTCCTTTGATTCAGGGACAGGAACTATGAGCCCCCCCTCCTTCCCTGTCAGCAACTGCTAAACCTCTGTACTAGGACTCAAACACCATCTTGAAGACCCTCTCTTGCCCTCCCCCATCTGAGCACAGTGTGCCCCACAGACCTGAGCAGATGACCCCTGCATCCTCCTTGTGACTGCAGTTGTGTTGCCCCCAGGCCTGGGAAGGGCACTTCCACACATGGGCCTCCTCTCCTGTGCAGTTCAGCTCATCCAGCCAGATGGGCCCTGATCCTTCTCCAAAGTGAGCAGAGATGGTGGCCTCCAGGGCCACTCCACAGCCCAGCTGTCTGCACACCACGTGGGCATCACTCAGGTCCCAGCTGTCATCACAGATGGAGCCCCAGGAGCCCTGCTGCAGGATCTCCACTCTCCCTGCACAGTGACTGCCCCCGTCCACCAGGCGGAGCTGTCTGCTGTCTGAGGAGACACAGGGTCATGTCAGTGGGCATTTGCTCAGGGAATGGGAAGGCTCTGGTTCTGGGGGCTTTGCTCACCTGAGCAGTTGGTAGTGTGGCCCTCTGAGGCTGCAGATCCTGCTTGGTCAGACCAGGAGTTATTGCACTGGGGAAGCAGCTGGGTCTGGTATCCTACAGAAGAGATTAGAGAGCAGGAAACTGAATTAAGATAAATAATAATCTAGTAATGGCATCTGAAAGCTCTAGGGTATGATCAGTAATTTCCTATTTTCAGAGCTGATTGTCTATTCAAGAGTTTTGCTTCTTCTTCTGACATACTCTTCTTTTTTAAACCAAGACCCAAGAATTACTTTAGGAAACTGTGAATATATCAGTGCTGTTTGAATGCTTGCATAGCTCCCAGGGAAGGAAGACTTTGGAGTCAAGTTCAGAGAAATGTAAAAACTAGAATCAACTATTTTCCCCTGAAGTCATTTAACAAATCAAAGGTAGTAGTTGAAACTGAAAATCTCAGCATGTTTGTCACATTTCCCTGGGAGTACCCTAGTGAAATTTAGGTCAGACTAAAGAGGAGAATACTCTTAAAAATCCAGAAAAGTTGTGAATACAAAGAGATTTTTTTTCATAGAAATGAGTGCCCTGTTTCTCACAATTTCAGTTCTCTTTGTATAATGAGATCTACCCTAAATAAAGTGCACTGAAAAAAGTAAAATCTTTTCTGAAGGTTTGTACAATGGAATTTTTTTTCAAATAGAATATCTGTCCATCAAAAAATAACCCACACATATAAAAGAGTTTACATAGAAAATGAAGTGCATAAATGAGATAAAAAAGATGTTCACAGAGTGGTATTAGTGTTTTTTCATAGGTAATTAAAATAATCATGATTAAATTTGTAAATTAAGAGACATGATGTGCATTTTGTTAGAGAAATGATGATAAAAATCCAATAAATATTGGATTTTTTGAGAGCTGTGTATAAAAAGAAGTAATGAAAAAGAACCAATAAAAAGTCAGTAAATAAAATAAGAAACCAGAGGTTCAGTCTAACAACACTGCAGGTTAGCACAAAGTAGAAACAGTAAGTGGAAGAATGCAGGGAGCCATCTGTGAAAAACACATGAGGATCTTCTCTAGGAGTGAAGCCAGGGGGATTTTAGGTTTAAACTTGGGAACTATCCATGGCTGTCCCATGCAATAGATTGCCCAAGACACATGACCTTTATCTTTGCATTGCTAGGAAGATCTCTCATGGTCACTCCAGAGAAGGGCATTACCCATTGGGACCTGGATATGCCACCTTTTTAATGGAGAACATTCTATGGAAGGTCTTTGAAGTCCCCAAATATAAATAAAGCAGGTGCAGGTTCCATTTTGCTTTTTAGTATAGATGCTTGATCTATATGATTGTCTAGTCCATCCTGCCCCTGATTTCTGAAAATATTTTCTGTGTCCTGTGGGCGTTTTTGTCCTTCTATTTTTCCTAGCTTTTGTTTCTCGTCCAGCTCATTCCACTGAGGGGAACCCCATTTCAATCACCTGTGCAGGAAGTGGGTGAGAGACGATCATGGGAATATGTAGAGTGAAAAACAGAAAGACAAAAACGTAGGAAATATAATAGGATACTAAGAGACATGGGGAGAGAAGTTCACATTCCTATGTACTTTACAAGTTTTAGGTATTAAGGCCATAAGAGATAGTGTAAAAGTATAAAGTGGAAAATACAAAAAGTGGGTTATCTAACACACCTGTAATATTTAAAAATAACCAAAAAATCTGTGACATCTATACATTGACCTCTGCAGTCCATTCCTCCTTCCCTCCAATCTGGCCAATCTGGGCTGACAAGGATGAGTTGTCTAAAGCAATAGAATGTGGTGAAGCCAGCACAGATTGACTTAGGAACCTAGCTTAGACAGACATGCCTCCTCCTCTTGGCTTAGGATATATGCTTTAATGGGAAATCTTTGTAGAGACAATCACATGGGGAAGAGCATTTACAGGTGGCTCTGTCAGCATCCCCAGTTGAACTTCAAGCTTCTGGCCATGTGAATGAACTATCCTTGATTACCATCTTGGTTGTCTTCAATGAGCTCAGCTCCAGATGAAATCTAAGTGCAACCTCATGAGAGACTTCAAGAGGCAACTGCCAATAGCCTTTGCCAAATTTATGAATCTGGAAATAATGGGCAAAGTGAAATGGGTTTCTATTTTCTATTTGGGTTGCTATTTTTTTGGGGGGGAGGAATATATTATAAGCAGTAGCAACTAGGACAATTACATTTATTGTGAAACAGCAATCTTATGTTCCCATGTTTATTGTGGCATTATTCATAATAGCTACAGTATGGAATCAGAAGCTACAGTATGGAATCAGATCCCCTTGCAAGAGAAATTCATAAAGAAGATGTGGTATAAATATAGGCATAAAGAAGCAGGGAATCTAGCCATTTGCATCAAATGGATGGAATTATAGGACATTATGTTATGTTAAATAACCCAGACATAGAAAGAAAAGTACAACATGTTCTCAATTATATGTGAAAGCCAACAGATTAATTTTTGGAATTTGGCAGTGACACTATGGTTATGTAAAAAAAATCTTGAAAATATTTTAAGAGTAAAGGGACACATCTTATCCATCTACTCTTAACTATTCACTCAGAAATATTTTATATATTCAGGGATAAATGTTGCAGAATGAGGGCATAATATGGAAAAATATAGCATTGGGAAATCTGCATTAGGGTTATCTGGGAATTTTATACTGTCTTTGAAGTTTAGTCATAATTCTCAAATAATCCATTAAGTAAATGAATGAAAGAGAAAAAAGAAAAACAAAGCCACAAAAATGTGAAGATGAAACCTAGTTGTTATGGTTTAGATAATTGTTGTCTCCCAAAAGCTCATGTGTGACACAATGAAAGAAAGTTTAAAAGTGAAATGATTGGGTTATGAGACCTTTAGCTAATTAGCACATTAATACTCTGATATTAACTGAGTGGTGAGTGTGGACAAGTAGTGTGTATCTGGATGAGATGGTTCCCTGGGTGCGTGTCTTTAGGGTTTATATTTTGTCCTTGTTGAGAAGAGTTCATTTTATTTTTGCTTCTTGGTAGCCTTCTGCTGACCTCCTTTCCCCTGCTCCACTCTTCTACCCTGATATTCCACCTTACATCCGACCCCCAAAATTGAGTAGGCGATCTATGAACTGAGACCTCTGAAATGTTTGGCTTCAAAATAAATTTTTTTTCTCCTTTCTGTCACAGCACAAAAAATCTTACTAAAACATTAATATCTAGGACATTTTTCACTAAAAAACGACAACACATAAAATAACATCATAAACCTAAAACCCCAAGAGTATGCCTATTAAGAGAGAAATTAGATATATACCTTGTAAGACAGTTAGCTCCATATTGAAGTTTACATCAAAACCAAACTCAATATAAATACCATTATGCAATTATTGAATTAACTATATTAACTGAATTATTGAATTAAATATATCAAGTTGTTGTAAAATTTATGTGAAATGCATAAGACCAATTATGATCAATACACTGGGCAGGAAAAATAAGCCAATTAGAGGAGTTGCTTTAAAGTAGTCTTTAAAAAAGTTAGTCAGACATACTATAAAGTTATAATTAAGGAGGTGTGCATGGCTACAAGCATAGAAAATGACAGAATGGAACAGAACAGAGCATAGAGCATGAGTCAGAAATATATGCACACTGTGTATTTCAAAAGAGACACAGCAGGGGGGAAAGGCTTTTCAGTAATGATTCTGAGTCAAATGGATGTATAAACAATAATGTGAAAGTATGTTTACACCACACTCCCTAAGTACAATACCAACCCCAGAAAGGTTGTGCAATTATATGTAAAAAAAGTAACTAAATTTCTATATGATATTCTTGGAGAATATTTTTATGATCTTACGATACTAAAGTCTATTTAAAGGGCCATTAGAACACTAAGTATACAGGAAATATTGATATGCTGTGCTTCATTAAGTACAAGAATCTGACTTCAGAAATAACACAATAATAGGAGAAGACCTGGATTAAAAATCATACACAAATATATCCATATTTGCACCAAAAGTTATTGACATGGTAATTTGTAGGATCATTATTTGGGTACTCAAAAAGTGTGAACTGCTCAAATCTCCATATAATTTGAATGGATCAATACATGATCCTGTGTTATTTGGCCAAAAACCCTACAGCAACAAAAATAAATTAGATTAGGCTAAAAATGAAAAGATAGGTATATTCTAAATATTATGTTGAGTCAAAGTAGACATAAAGAGAGAACATGCTATGAAGCTCATATCCTTACATAAAGCTCAAATCCTGACAAAAATTTCTTTCACAGCAGAATTTAGAGTGGTCTTCTTTGGAAGGGATGGGGACACAGTGACTGAGGTATCTGCAGGTGACTTCTGGGAGCAGCTGATGATCTCTGATTGTCCAGAGTGAGAAAATGGACAGAGCTATTACTCATTATTATACAGTGTTCTCTATGAATTGCAAATAATAATAATAATAATAATAACAATAATAATAATAATGCTGCTTACTTAAAACTATTCCTCATAATACCCCTTGACAGAGCCTGAAAGATGGATGATCATTGAGAAGAACCATATTTCACCACAGAATGCCTCACTTTTGAAGTCAGTTCTCCACACTGTCTGCTCTTAGAGACATTTCACTCAAGTACCAATCATTTCTGACCATTTTTTAGGAGCCGAACATCTGTATATCCTGATAGAAGACATGGTTTTAGCTACATCTCACAGTTTTCTTATCCTCACAGTGTGTGTAGGGAGGTTAAGTTCCTGCTGAGAGTCTCACCTGAGCAGACAACTTACCTGAACAGACCACAGAGGCTGTGTTTCCATGGTCACAGGCAGGAATACCCAGGGCAGACACAGGGCAATTCCACAAGAAGGACTCAGACCCTGAGCAGTGGAATCGGTCTCTCCAGATCTCTTCTCCTCCATCCACAAAGTATGCTCCCTTTGGGGTGGAGATGGCGACTCCACAGCCCAGCTGACGGCAAACTACATTGGCATTGGCCATATTCCAGTGGGAGGCACAGAGTGTTCTCCAGCCTCCAGAGGTCTTCATCTCCACTTGACCCTCACACTGAGAGCTGCCATTTTTCATGAGCCGAACATCTGTATATCCTGGTAAAAGACAGGATTAGCAACATCCTACATTTTTCTTACCCCCACAGAGTGCATAGTGAGGTTAAGGTCCTGTTATGAGTCTCACCTGAGCAGATAACTTGCACAGCCCCCCTGTGGTGGCAGCTACCTCCAGGACAGGGCACTCTGGGGCAGAACCAGAGCCCAGGTTCTTGTCCCTTACACTGAAACTCTTCAGCCCAGACCTGTTCACCACCCTGTTTGAATGGCACGTTCCCTAGGACAGATGCAGCCTTGCCACACCCCAGCTCTGCACAGATGACCTGGGCTGTGGATAATGTGAAATTCCTATCAGATACTGGAATCCACTCTCCTCTAGAATTCACTTCCACTTGCCCAGAGCAAAGTCTATGTCCTCCAATCAGACGCACAAATCCTATGGGAGAAAAAAAAAAAAAAAAAAGAAGTGTCAGTGAATAGAATTGGAAGCTACAAGTCACAGGTAATACTGTAAAATCTTTCATTTTCCATTGTTGGTTTCTGGGAGCGGATTTAACAGATGATGCCAAAATATGAATTCCATGAACAAGTGTCTGAATTCACTAATATTTTGGAGGTTATATTTTAAAGTGTATGAGACTTGCAGGTTCATCATAAAAATTAGTCATCAGTACAGTTATCCAGTGACAGAAACAACAAATATCAGCCTCCAGAACAGAAACCTGACTGGCTGAAGGCTCTGCCTGTGGATGCAACCAGGTCTTCTTCTCTGTGAACTCTGGTTTTCACACAGTTCCACCTTCACATTAAAGGTCAACATCAGCACCACCAGAGAGGGCCACCAGTTTTGCATGACTGATTGTAGTTTCAGCTCAAATAGAAGCATAGCTTGCCTTCAGTGGCATTATTTACTTTTTATTTATTTTTTATTTCTATATGGCCCATTTCTAGTATCCAAGAGTTAGAATGTCTGAGTTGAGATAGAATAACATTACATCCCAATTCCCTCTTAGATATTCCACTGTGATATCTTAGTACAGTGCCCTGTAGATAAAATATTAAGAGGGAATCTTTATCTTGGGCACTGAATTCTATTGCAATGTCAAACCATTTGCAGAGACATTTGTACAATTTTCATTAATAAAAATTGGAAGCATTTCAGATAAAGAAATAGATCACCCAATTCAGGTTTCACCTTTACTCTGCTATTCTTCACTGATGATTGAGACCTAATCCAGCCATAGCCTGAGAGGGCAAAGAGTAAAATGTATCAAGTACTTATACTGAGATGATCAACGGAGCATCTGTAATTGTACAGAACAGAGATCCTGAGATCTTCAGTGGGCAGTATTGTTACAAACTCAGCAATATACTTATTTACATTTAAAAACACATTGAGGATTTATTATGTTCTGAGCATTGTGTTATAAAGTAACATATGTCAAATATCCTTGAAACAACTTTTTGAAAAAGACATGATTTATACATTAGAGTCACCTACCATCAATACAGACAGTATTTTTGGAAGATGATTTACTCTGTTACACTTAATGAAATATAAACACAACAAAGTGTGGTTTAGATGCTAGTATACATTGTTCTATGTAAACTAGCATCTAAACCCAAAACCCAAAAACCTTTCTACTGAAAGTGGGTAATATCACGGTCCACAGTTCTTCAGATAAATAGGCAATTCTTATATCATAGTTGTTTAGAAATCCTCATAAGTTCTATTTGCAAGATTATATATCAATGTTGGTAATATGTCAATGTTATAAAGAGATGTGGAGAAAAAATGTTCCCCTTCCTCATTTTTATTACCAGATGGTTGAGATAAATAGTATCACAATTTTATTGTTCACTCTTCCTTTCACCTGTCTTGCTTATAAAGAATATATTCTCAAGTAAAACTAATTTGCCATATTGAACCTACCACTCAGTCTGCACAACCTACAATCTTGAAATCTCAGTGGTTTGAATGTTGAGGTTGTTTCATCTGTGCTTATAGTGTATGGACAGATAATTGCCAACTATTCTGGAATCTTAGGGAATGCAAGATTTCAAGGCCTAAATATTATTTAAGAGGCCGAAATTGGTAAAATTTATCAACAATGTCTGTTTTATATGGTCTCTTGAGATAACTGCTGTGCATTTTCCCCTCAAAGCCATAAACACCATTTACAGTGGAAACTTCTAATTTGACTTTGAGGCATAATATGAAGCACACATAATGTGTGAGGATTTTTTGAAAAATAAAACATTAAATATAATATCCAATGCTGAATCTCTTACTGAAAATTCTCATTACAAACAATTCAGCTTCAGCTCTCTGTCTCACCTGGGAGGCTGTCATCTTTAGGTTATGTTTTCCTTCTGTAAGAGTTATGCAACGCAAGCTCCCAACAATGAATGTAAACTGAATTTTTAAAAATGGTGTACATATAAATAGGATAAATTGTAATAAAATGATCTGTTCAGTCAACTGTGGATAAATTTCATAAATATAAAATTAAATAAATGAAAAATAAAACAAAACCACAATAGGCGAACCAATTCAAATAAATTTGATGCACAAGCCTGGAAGAGTTCACATGAACTTCTAAAGGAAAGTGTGATGAGTGTGATGAATAGAGACCTAAGGCTTCCAAGATCCCCAATCCCCATATTCCTTCCCAATACCTGCTTCTTTGTCTTAGCTCGTCAGAACCAACTTTCACACAAAGCTGAAAATGTGGGTCCTGGTGCACTGCTGGATCCACAAGAGGGTAAATTCAGGTAAAAGGCTTCACCTGACTCTACCTGTGTTATAGCTGCAGTCAGGCTGCAGCAAAATAGCTTGGGGGGGTGGGTGGACAAGGAACTTGTGTAGATTGATACAGCAGGAGTGGGAGCCATTTATTGTAGGACAACAAAGGTATTTATACATTCCACACAGCTTATCTTAATTAACATAAACTAGATACAGCAGTCAACCAATAAGGAATCTCCACACTTAATGGCTCGCTGGCACCACCTCATAAACCACTCCTTCTGGCAAAATGCCAGGCGCAATCCAGACTTGTTTACAGACTCTAACAGTTATTGGCCCACCACTATAACCAGAGCCAGTGGAATGGTATGAATGAGCACATCAAATGCACCTAATTATGATCATGAGGACTGACTTCCCAAAGAAAGAGATGCTCAGCAGAATATTAGGATGAGCAAATATGTGGGATCTATGTAAATGCAACTACAGTAATTTTATGATGGTGTTTATTAACTGTATTATCCTTTTAATGGTTAATTCTGTTTCCTTTAGAAAATGCACTTATTTGCTGAAACACAGGTCAATATTCAAGTTGTTAATTCTGTTTTCCATAGGACTTGAAATTTCATGAGAAAAATTATGTGTGTCCATGATTCAAGGCCATTTATGACAGAAGGCTGGTGTGAAGGGAACAATTATGTATGAAATATGTTAAAATTATTAAAAATATATTTTTATTAAATAATAAGCTTAGAGTGGATTGGAATTTAATACAAACAGATTCAAACACACACACATACATGTGTTTATTTATGTGAAATTTAGTACTCATAAAATCATTCAGATGCCTACATTTAATTTTAAATAATAATATTTTAAAATTATTAGACTATATTTGCTTATAGTGTTAGATATTTTAGAAATAGATATTAAATAAAAGAAAATTAGTCTCTGTTTGGTATTTTCCTGTATAGTCAAATATGTAGATGTCAAAAAGAGTCAAAACACTGGGTTCGGTTGTGGCTTAGCAGTAGAGTGCTCCCCTTGCATGTGCAAGACCTAGGGTTGGATCTTCAGCACTACATAAAAACAAATAAGTTAAATAAAAATAATGTGTCCAACTACAACTAAAAAACAAATATTAAAAAAAAGAGTCATGGGCTGGGGATGTGGCTCAAGTGGTAGAGAGCTCGCCTGGCAGGCATGTTGCCCGGGTTCGATCCTCAGCACCACATACAAACAAAGATGTTTTGTCCGCCGAAAACTAAAAAATATATATTAAAAAACTCTCTCTCTCTCTCTCTCTCTCTCTCTCTCTCTCTCTCTCTCTCTCTCTCTCAAAAAAGAGCCATAACTCATGGAGAACAAATGATACCCGCTCTTTAGAAAATATCAGAGGGATTATAAGGAAGACCCATTCTAGGGCTTTCCTTTTAATATAACCTTTTCATTATGTCCTCTAACATGACTTTTCCATATTGACTAAAGTCTTTCAATTATCTGATATAACACAAATTCTTTCATTGGTCTAGAATTGGGTAAGGAATCAATGTCACTACTGATGATGATTTTGCTTAAAACGCAATTTTACTACCTCGAAGTTGTGGAGGACAAAAGTGGGGACTGAGAATTTTAGTGAGGTTTGCTCCTTCTTTCAAGACTGTAGGAGAGGATGCATCCTTGCCCTCCCTCACTTCCGCTGGTCAATGACAGTCCTTGGTGTGCCTTGGCTCACAGATGCATCCCTTTAGTTGCTGCCTCTGTGCTTACCTGTCCCTCTTGTCCGTGTCTGTCACTATGTTCCCTCTTCTGAGGACATGAGTCAGGTTGGATTAGGAATATGGATGACAGACTTTAGAATATGACTGAAGAATTCAATGCAAAACAGCAGGATGAAAATTCCTCACATCCTTTCTGCTATAGTAACTGGCTCTTCTTCTAAATCTGTGATGCTTCAGTGAAGACTTTTGAATCTCCTCCTCTGACGCATCACACTTAGAGAACAGAGCCACATCCCAGTCTAATCATCTGTTCCAGGAGTAGTAAGACTGGTAAGAGGAGGCATGTTTGTCTAAGTCCCTAGAGACAAAGCAGTGATTGGTGACAATGACGTGAAAAAAAAAGAGGAAGCAGTTCTTTACTTATCCCCATGGTTGCATGTTGTTTCAGTCATGACCACCAATTGAAATTGCATGAGGCATGGTAAGGACATTTCAATATCTGCATGAGACTGGTATTTTCATGAAATATGATGTCTTAATGTTGAAATAATTCCATAGATATTGTCATGGGAGGTACATTGACATTTGGGTTCACCAGAGCCATCTATATGTTTGTTTGAAACAGCATCAACATTTTTTTCTGTGTCTTGTGCCTAACATTTCTCCACATGAGGGCCAAGGCAGAGCCTGACTGACTTGAGCTCCTCATTCAGCTTGTGCCTGACTCATCTGAGGACAGGGGTTGAATTTTCAGGGTGAAGACTGGGCTGACACTGAAGGCTACTCTCCAGCTCCTTGTCCTTTTAAAGGAAATTGTTCTTCCCAATCTCACCTGAAAGATATCAGGACTTACGTGTATATAGAAGGGATAGCAGAGAAAGAGCAATTTTGCCAAGAACCACTGAATGGAGAATTAACAAAATTAAACAAATTCCATGAAAACTTCAAAGGACCAACAGAGCAAAAATTAAAAGTAACTTCAAAACCTTAATGTTTGACACTACATATTGAACACTAAAGAACAAATTTTGCTTTTTGTGTCATAAATCAGAAAGAATTAGAGACACACTCATGCTTCAGTCCAAAAAAAGGATGCATCAAAGCCCACAGCAACCAACCAAGAAATATGGTCCAGCTCTGGGGCCTGCAGGATTGGCACTAAAAAGAACTGAAGGTGCAGAGTGTGTGTTTGGCACATGGCAGAAATTGGATCTTTTGGTGGCTTCTCTAATAGGGAGAAATAAATGGGCAGCTCACAATCAAGGTCTGGGTGTTGGTTGATTCCTGTATAAATAAAGTACTGTGGTGTTTATACTAAATTCATCCTCAGTCTCAATTTCCCTTCCTAAAACTCTATCTGAATTCTCTAGTACCCTAAATTCCTCAACATAAAGGCCTTTTCATGGATACTTAAAGCTCTACAGTGATAAATGCTGTTGACAGTGTTAAAAGTTGCCAAAAATGACATGCTGTTGAAGATGCTTATATGCTACATCCTTATATCTTGCCAGAGAAGACAGAACCTGGTGAGAGTAAGTGACTTGGTAGAGGTTAGAGACATTGTGCCATCCAGATCTTTCTACCATGACCTCATTTCTGCCTCTCAGCAACCGTTTCTCTGGCTTCAACTTCCTTACATCTCAGCTGCTCCCTAATTCATCCTCCAGCCCATCATTGAGGATATATCATGTTCTTTGCTCATCTCTACTCTTATTTCACAGAGGTGACCTACACTTTACAAACTGGGTTTATTTGCAGAAACAATTCAGTCAAGTCACAGGAGGTCATATAGGGACCTGATCTTCAGGAAGCTACTCTTTATGTACCTATATCCTGAGAGAACCCCAATTCTCCACATTCCATCTTTAAGAAAACTAGGGCTCTTTCATCTTGTGGAAATGGCCTCTCTGACTTCCCATCACTATTAGAGCTTTTGGGTTCAAATTTATCCAGGTAAACAAAAGAGACAGGGTGGCCAGGTTGATTTTCAACATCTTTTATCAAAATAACACATTTGCTTCTATCACGAAAACCAAGATTGCCTGCTCCACCCTGCCTGTAGCTGGGACTCATCTTCATACAACCAGTTCTCTAGGGTTTTGATCATAAGCTTTGTTTCCGTATCCATCTGTTTCCTCATCATTGACTTCACAATCTTACTATACTTTTAGGGCACAGAACTGTGTCATCTGAGTAGATGGTAATGTGTCCATTAGATGTGGAGATATTGGCCAGGTAGAGGTCCACATAGATTCCAAACTAGCCCTGTATTCTTGATCTTCCCAGTCATGTCTAAAATCTGCCGCATGAATTTCCCTTTGAGGCCCAGGAAGAGGATAAGGAGAATAATCATTGGAGGCCCCACAATTGGCAAAAATATTTGTAACCAGGAAAGATAAAATGGGGCAGAGGGGTCTTCAAGTGAGACATAATCTAAACTTTCCCCTGAGGCCTGATAGAAGAAACAGGTATTTGAGGAGAGTATTGAGAGTCTGCCTCCCTGTTTTATAATTCAAAATACTAAATTCTTTTCAGAATTTGCTGTGTTAAAGAAATATTTTTAGGTTCTGGGTGTGAATATTTCAAGGAAACAATGCAGAGAAAAACAAACCATTTCAATCCATTTGAACTTTATAAGAGATCTGGCTGGGAAAAGAAAGAAAAATTGCATCTGCAGAGGTCCACTGATTTACACGAATCATTCTCACTAGAGTAAATTAAAAAGTTGGAGTTAGATATATCCTTGTCTGATTATTTGCTTCAAGGACACATTGCTTCCTTGGGCAAGTTTCATGGCTTGAAAAGGTGTCATCCACGGGGCCTTTTCTCCCACCATTCTATCCTCAATACCTCATCATTGAGTCACTCTTACAATTCATTCTTCTTATTTTATATAGTGAGGGTGTACAGAATTCACACAAATGTACATGGAGTCACCACCTTAAACCAGGATCTTAAGCCCAGGCACTATAAGCTTCCTCTATCTTTCTCAGAATGTTCTATTTGATCCCTTCTCATTCTTATCAAATTTACTTCTCAGTGCACCTCTCTTATATTATTGAATCCATCATATATAAACTACATAACCTTCCCCCATATCTTGTCACCTGTAGCATTTTCTTCCTTTTTTCATTTAAATTAAATTTATTTCAACTGATGCCCCAAACATAAATAATATATCTATTAATGGACTAAATAGATCTCTTGATGCATGTGTATATTGTGTTATCTTGTTTGCTCAAACACTGTTCATTTCCTTCTGTAAAAATTTTCAATATGCTCTCTTCTTGCGTTTTGAAATAAGTTTCTTATTGTTATCCACAGTCACCCAACTATGCAAAGCTGCACCAGAACTTCTTATTCCTATCTAAGTAAAACCTATAAGTGATTGATCAGTCTGTAGCCTTAAATTTCTAACCCCTACACTTTCCATCCTATGGTAATCACAATTCTAATTTAAACTTCTAAACTTTTATTAGATCAACTCTTTCATATTTGACATATAATGAGATTACAAGACCCTTGTCCTTCATGGCCTGAGTTATTTCACTTAACCTAATGATTTTCAGGTCAAGTTTTCATTCCTTTTTTCTTTTCTTTTTTCTTTTTTGGCTAAAGAGTATTCCATTATGCAAATATACTTCATTGTATCCACTTGTTAGTTGATGGACTCTTAGATTATTTCCACTTCTTAGCTACTGTCAGTAGTGCTGCAATAAACACGGGAGTACAGATGTCTTTTCAATATCTTGATTTCAATATCTTGGATGTATGCTCAGAAGTGGATTGCTGTATTGTATGAGAATTTTGGGGGGGTGCTATCTGAAAATATCTTTGTATTTCCTTTGTTTGAAAAGTACAGTTTTGGCGTGTTCTATATTTTTGATTGGCAGATTTTTTCTTCAATTCTATAAAAATCTCATGGTACTCACTTCCATTCTACATGTTTCCTGTTGGGAAGTTCACCGCCAGATGAATTAGGACACCCTTATATGTTGTTTGCTTATTTTGTTTTGATTCCTTGAGTATCTTTCATCCCTGAGAACCATATTTTAATATGTAATGATAAGAGTTCAAAGGGTCCAGGTGAAATCTGGAATTTTCACCCCTAAGCAGAGACTTAAATCTCTCCTTAGTGTGCTGCCTGGTGTTTTGGGAAGCAATGAGGAGGGAGGTCCTGTGGCCACAAATGCTGCAATGCTATGTCACACACTGAGGCCACAGCCTGCCAAGGCAACACAGAACCAGGGAGGAACCAAGGCCCTCAGTTCTGTGACCAAGGTCTTCAGCTGCCTACTGGTGAAGCAGACTCATGGCCCAAGAATCCTGCAACCAGACACAGGCTCTTCTTGAGTGTGCCCCACCAGCATACAGGTCTTGCTCTCTGTATGAGCTCTGTCCCACCTTTGAGGACTGTAATCCTTACTGAGTGCTGATTCTCACTGTGGTGGGCCCAGCATTTTGCTCTCAAACAAAATCCTGTTTCTGCTCTTGTGTCATGCTCCTTAGCAAATGAAGTGTTGATTTTCCTTCTGTCAAGGTAGTTTTGAGGAGTGATGGTGGAGACAGTCTTTTTGCTGCCCAACTAAACACAGTTCCAGAGTCTCTGTCTGAGGTTACTGACATGGGACAAGGATTGTTGGGCTCTACTGGGCACCAGCTTAGTTCTGAGTTTCAAGTCTAAGGCCTGGACATAATTACCTTTCCATTTCCCAACAAAGGTGCATCTTCCTTCACACTGGGCTGCTTGAATTAAGGGAAAGGGCAACTCTTATTTTCCTCTCTCTTTCACAGTGTCTTTTCTTTTTATTATCAAAAAGCAGGCATTTGGGCTGGCCCTTGGGCTGGGGTTGTAGTTCAGTGGTGGAGCATTTGCCTCACACATATGAGGCACTGGGTTCCATCCCCAGCACCACATAAAAGTAAATAAATAAAATAAAGGTATTTTGTCCATATATAACTGAAAATTATTTTTTAAAAAGCAGGCACTTACCTGGGTCCTTTTCTTTTCATACACATGGTTTATTTTCTCATATCAAACCATTTTTGTGTGAAAACTGTTTATGTGGTGTATTTGTGGTAGATCACTGAATAAACACCTTGATCTGAGGTTTAACCTACATAGTCTCTTACCATAATAAATATGCATTAATATTTTATTGCTTTCTACATTTATCTGGAAGCAAAGTGTTCAATTTACTTCCCAAGATGAGTTTATGCACAAGTTGCTTGAAAAAGAAATGTAGAGAGAGTCCACTGTAGTAAAGAAAGGAGAAATTGTGACTCAGATCAAAATGCTCACAGTTCTCTGGCACTTCCTGCCAATGAGCAGATAATTCTGATGTCTAAATCTGGAAAGGAGAATTGCAACTTTCCTGTAATTCATAAATTCCCCAGTGATGTATTTAATCCCATCCCTGTGCCCAAATAAATACTAACCCAGTGCAAAAGTACCTCTGACTATACATATACTCCACTCAATTCAACTGAGGAAAGTAGCACTTCATTCTTCTCTGTCCTTTGAGAAGTGCTGCAAACAGAGTGTGTGTGCTAATTTTGTATGTAATCCTAAAAATAGTAAATTAGAGAAACAAAATTATAAAGATTGATTTTTAAATTGAAATACTCTACAAAATAATCTTGTCAAGTAAGAGTGAAAAAAAAGGGAAAAGACAATATTTGGTATTTACAAGACTGTAATAAATGAAGATCATCATCCACTGCCATCCATGCATCTACTGATTCAGGGAAGGGCATCCTACTTTTCTCTGGACAATTCATCCTTTATTTCCCCAGGGATCAGACACTACTTTCCATTCTCTTAGGTAGTGGAGAATGCACTGACCATACCTGAGCAGATGACTCCTGCATCTTTAGAGTGCCTGCAGTTGTTCTCTCCCTGGCCCAGGACAGGGCACTTCCACAAGTAGTCCTCCTCTCCTGTGCATGCCAGGTCTGTCAACCAGATGGGCCCACATCCCTCTCCAAATTGTGCATAGAACAAGGCATTGATGGCTTCTCCACAGCCCATTTGTCTGCACACCACGTGGGCATCATTGAGGTCCCAGTTGTTATGACAGACAGTGCCCCAGGAATGCTGGTGAAGGATCTCCACTCTGCCTGCACAGCGACTGCCACCATCCACCAGGCGGAGCTGTGGGCTCTCTGAGGAGAAAGAATCATGTCAATGATGTCATGTATTGACAAAGAGAATGAGAATGTTTCTATTGTCATGTGGTACTCCCTCCCTCAACAAATCAGTTGGAGAATCTGTTTTCAGAATGTAGTGCTTGTGGTGTAAGACATGGAGTTATTCATTATACTAGAGCAGCGGGTAAGTCTTAGTTCTACCATCATATGTAGGAGAATTAATTGTGAAAACATAAGAAATGGAATTAACTACAGTGTAATCAAGTGAGTAGTCTCAGTAGAAGTTATTATGTAACTGATCAGAATAAAATTTGTTATTGGCAGAATTCTGTATATGGTGTGACAAAAAAAATTTGAAACATGCCAGCTTTTCTAATTTGCATAACCAAATGTGTGTTTTCTGAATGATTTCTAAGAGTTACTGTAATGGGAGAGTATCTGAATTGGCTTCTTGAGGATATACGCTTCAGGACCCATGACCTGAGATTGGAAGGGTCAGAGCACAGAAGATGGAGTAAGAAATGTGATGAGATCATCCGAAGTCTCAGGTGACAATTGTGAATCCAGTTAAAAAAAAAACAATAAAAAAATGTAATTAAGACTGAAAAATAAATGAATCATAAGACAAACCATAGTTAGTGCAATATATCTCAATAATGGTTCTAGCCTTCATAGTTAAAATATGGGTATGCAATTTTAAATTTGCATCACTTTAGGTAGATTGGGCAACCTCCCTAAATAGATGATGTAAGATATTGACATTGCCCAAATGACACTAGGAATGATGGGATGCTACTTGTTCCTCCAAATATATCTAATCTGTGCTTGGACTTCCTGCCAGGAGTTCTTGATGAGGAGTTAAACAGCAGAACAGAAGTACAGTATTTATGACTCTGAGTGAAAAGAGTAGGGAACACAGGATAAACTGTATTCTGAGAAGAGAAAGAAGAAAAACACTGGGAACCAATAAAGAAATGATGAGAAATGTTAATGATATGGAGAATTATTAAGGCAGCCCAGAGAAAAGAATAAAGCAATTTACAACTTCAACTCCAGGTGTAACCATGTTATGGATAACCATGGGAAAAACACATGGTTCTTGCAAGCTTTAGAACAAGTTCAGGGGAGATGTTCTGAGAGGAACTCCTCCTGCACAACAAGAGAGCTTTGGAAAAGGAATCCATCACATTGCTCAACAAGCTCTCAGAGTGCTATAACCTGGGATTTTCTTGACATGCGTCCTAGTGTAGGGGATAAACTGTGCTAGGATTATAAAACATGGATTATTCATAATTCCAGGTCCCTGGGCCACCCTCCACATTGATTCTGTGAAGGAAGTGAGCACCTACAGTCTTAGATAGGAAGACTAACTTCCACAAACACAGTGAAAGAGTGGCACAGAAGGGCCTAGAGGCCTCACTGACATGTCATCTTTCTCTATGTGAGGAGGAGTGATTTCAGTCTCATGGAAGCCATGTCTGAGAGCTCAGAGACTACATCTAGTGATTCATCCTATTCCCATGGCCTATCTTCAGAGTGGAACTCAGTGATTGGAGAGCTTACACCACCTTTCACAGGCATTCCAGGGATTCACCATGGCTAGGACACTCGACATGTCCACATGGGCATGAGTCTTTGGAATAGTGTGTGCCCAAGAGTTGGGTCCAGAAACTACTGAAGGAAAGGCTTGGATGATTTTGACTTTTGCCATACACCCAGGTTGACAAACAGAATTTATCCAGCATAAATATGGCCTGCCCCATTAATATTCCCTTAACCTCCATGGCAGGAAATGAGAAGCTCAGTGCATCCAGCATATCACACCATATCCTAGTTCATGTTGATGGGAACTCTAAGAACTATGATTGGTTTCACTTTTTAGGCTACTAACTCGATATTCCTGGTGGATTCAATTGTTAAATAACAAAAAAGAGTTGTCTTCATGAAAGCATTTTGTCTGGGAGGAATTTTTATGCATTTAATACACACACACACACACACACACATACATTGTTATATTTTCCTTACTACTCTGTAATTAATGCATTTGTAAATTCTTTAAATGAATTTTTCTCTTTTCTTCTTTCTCATCTTTTCTTTACATAATTAATAATGAATTAATTTTCTTTTATTAATTTACTTTCTCATTCATTCTGTTTATTCTTTGCCTAATCTATTGTTACTATTTTTTAGTTGTTATTGAATTTAATTGATTAATACTGTATTTATACAGCTGGTTTATGTTTATGTAGTAGATACTGCTGTTATTCACTTTCTTCTTTCTGAGTTATGATGTTTATCAAGCCAAGAAACTTGAACAGGTTGGATGTACTTTGCCACTGAGTTACACAACCAGACACTAGAATAAGGATGTACCTTATTGTAGCCACTACCTAGCCCTGTGCAAGCCTTGGTGGATGTTTTGGTTTGAATGAGAGGTGTCCCCTGAAAGCTCCTGTTGAGAAAATGAAAAATGCAAAATTCAAGAAGTTTTAGAAGATAAATGATTGGGTTATGAGTCTCAACCCAATCAGTGAATTCATCCCCTGATGAGATTAAGTGAGTGGTAAGTATTTATGTCTTTGACTGACAGAGGAAACCACAGAGTTGAGTGTCCTTGAAGGTGGAGGATTATAATGGAACATCATATTGACTAATCAGGGTAGGAAAAGCATGCACACTCCTGAGGAGAGTGGAAAACTGAAAATCTGAAAAGGGAAAATACTAGGAAGCTGCATGAAGATAAAATATCTGGGAAAGGAGCATCAAGAGTATGTGCCACAAGGAGAAGTAGCAATAGTCAGAGAAGGAACAATGCAATCAAGATCTCAAGCTGGACAGTTAGTGATGGTCAATAGTGTGGCCATAAAGCAGATGGGGTATTAGGGATGCTTCAAAGGGAGAAAGTCAGGGATGGAGAGGCCAGGGTGTTATCTCCGTTGTCTTCAATTATAATGGCAGCAAAACAGGAAAAAGAGGAGCCTGGGGAGACTGGTACTGCAGTCTTCCTGAATAAGGGGGAGGAATCAGTCGGGAGAATGACAACAACAGAAGTGGTGGCACCAGCCACCTCAGGGAGAAAATTTCAAGTATTTGGACATGGAAAAAAAAGAAAAGAAATTGTTGAAAATGACAAAGTAAAGCAGGAATATACTTCCTCTAAAATTTGTCTCAGAAATATCCCATTGAAAGGGAAGCACAGAGCCTCCCAATGATAAGGACATCATTGTTCTCAGAGATCAGCCAAAATTTTATCAGAACATGAAACTGAATGGGACATTATAGGTCTTAAAAAATTAGGAGATGAGAGGCTCTAATTTCCAATGGGCTCCATGGAATGTTTTCTGGGACAGGATTCAAGTGGGCATACTCGTTTGCAGTAGGATATCGATAAAGACTTAGAGGCAGTAGTATCAACCAAGATGACATGGCCTGAGAGGAGGTCAATTCAAGAGAAAAATAAAGGGAGATCAGGCCCTTCACCTCACAGAAATTCCCCATGATATGCAGATGAAAAGATAAATAAATAGATTTTCAACAGGATTGTTATCAAACCCATGCCTTGGAGAGGACTCTAGATTTTATTATGCATCCAGGTAATCATGTATCTCTCTTCCTACCCTCCTCCTGCTTTGCTCATGATGGGACTTTATCAGTACATCGAGGTCATCATGCTCTTCTTACCTCAATATTTACACTGACCCAATATTCTGCTTTCATTCTACATTGGACTTCTAGTCTTTTAGGCTTCATCTTAAATATGATTTCTCTCTTCCTCAATGTACATATTTCCACAGCACCTACAATACCTTCATGAGACTCAGATTTATGCCGGGTGTGTTTCATTAGGCTGGAGTGCAAACCGCATGATAGGAGGGGTGGTATTTCCTCCTTGCATCTATCCTCCTGCCTGGAAATAAGTCTTTACCTATAAATCACTCAATTATATATTTACCATCAAGAAACTAATCTGAGAGGTTTTCTGGTGGTAGATTCCAGAGTAAAAATCCCCAAGTTGCCACTCACTCAACTGAAATTGTGAGAAAAATTAAATGCTTACTCCTAACCTCAATTTCCTAATCTGAAATAAATGATCACCATGGTACCTACCAAGAGCTGATTGTGTCTGTGAGAACAAAGTGAGAGCACTTAGCAAGCAACGTGTATAACTGAGGTCCAGTCATTCAACCTCTCACTAAGGAAATACAGATTAACTAATATAATTTAAGACTGCATTAGCTAATTGCTAAGAATTTACATCGAAGTATAACTTCATGCTCCCATATTCTCAGTTCAGTCTCTGGTTCTTTGCACATAAATTGCTATTATCAATGGTTTCCTTATATCTGCCTTTGAAATGGGACTACAACAGTGGGATCAAGTAATCTCCATCCAGTATTCATTTTGTAGACTTATTTCAGCTCATCCATTATGTATGAACACGTGAACCTTTCCTAATAACAACCTACAGGCATAGGACAAACACATAGAAATAGACAGTAGGTCACCTGTACATGTGATATGAGCTTCCTCTTTTGGTGAGCAAGATTGGTGTTTCCAGGGGTCAGAAGGACACTGCCAGAGAGAGGTGTCAGTTTCCCGACAGTGGATTCCATCTACCCAGTGGGGTCTAGAACCTTCCCTGGAAGGAACCAAGAAATCTAGAGTCCCAGTGTCCCCACAGCCAAGCTGTCTGCAGATCATGGACAAAGTCATAGCCTCCATAGGGCTGTGGCAGACACTGCCCCAGGTGTTGTTGTAGAAAACCTCCAGCCACCCAGCACACTCCTGGTCTTCGCTCACCAACCTGAGGGCCAGGAACTCTGAAATGGAAGGGAAAACATTAGGGCTCAGTGAACATTAAAGTCTAATTGATGCTTTTTTTCTTTATTCCTAAGCAGTGAATATTCATTAATAACTCTGCTAAAAAAGTGCCCAGCAAATGGAAGACTGGAAGTTATGTCCTTATAACATTTTTTCTAACTTTTACATCTCCTTCTGTTTCTACAACAATGTAATCTTAGCAAATCAATAGGCAGGAACACTGACTTGGGGGCTCTGCTGGAAGTGAACTCTTTATCTTCTATCTGAGGAATTACTTGACAGATCCTAGAAACAGAGTATGGACAGAAGGGTGATAGAATAGTGGAGCTCCAAGTATGTCTTCTCACTTATCCTGGGAACCTATGAATATTTTTACTTATTATAAAAGGGCTTTGCAGACATGATTAATAATAGATCCTTTCTTGATTATCCTGGATCATTCTGGATTAATAAGGGAGTTCAACATAATCATATCCTTAGACCTGTGTCCTCAAAAGAAGATAATTCCTTCTGGCCCTCATCAGAGCAAGATGTTGCTCAGTGTGTTGCAATACTGTTGGTTTGAAGAAGGAAGGGGTCATGAGACAAGGAATTCAGGCAACTTCTAGAAAATGAAAATGGCAAGAAAAGAGTCTTCTGAGAGCTTCAGCTGTTGCAGCCTGATGACACTTTGTTTATGGCTAAGACAGACCCAGATTAATCTTCTAATCTACACACTGTAAAATGACACATATGTGTTGTTTTGAGTCATTCAGTCTATACTACCTTTTTATAGCAGAAATAAAAAAACTAATTTAGTGGATCAGGATGTCACAGCATCAGGTCATAGATGACTACATTAAATGAGCACTGAAGAGAATGACTGTGTCAGGAGAAAGGACTGAGAAGGGAGGAACAGAAGCTCAGCTGCAGCAGCAGGAAATGGAAGTACCTCTCTTCTCAGCTGGAAGGACAGGGACTGTTCTTTTCCTCTGCCCTGTCCGGACCACTGCTTTGGGGCTCAAACACCATCTGCAGACCCTCTTCTGCTATCTCCCACCAGTGCACAGTGTGCAGCACAAACCTGAGCAGATGACCCCTGCATCCTCCTTGTGACTGCAGTTGTGCTGCCCCCAGCCCTGGGAAGGGCACTGCCACACATGGGCCTCCTCTCCTGTGCAGTTCAGCTCATCCAGCCAGATGGGCCCTGATCCTTCTCCAAAGTGGGCAGAGATGGTGGCCTCCAGGGCCACTCCACAGCCCAGCTGTCTACACACCACGTGGGCATCACTCAGGTCCCAGCTGTCATCACAGATGGATCCCCAGGAGCCCTGCTGAAGGATTTCCACTCTCCCTGCACAGTGACTGCCCCCGTCCACAAGGCGGAGCTGTCTGCTGTCTGAGGAGACACAGGGTCATGTCAGTGGGCATTTGCTCAGGGAATGGGAAGGCTCAGGTGCTGGGGGCCTTGCTCACCTGAACAGTTGGCAGCGTGGCCCTCTGAGGTTGCAGAGCCTGATGGGTCAGACCAGGAGTCATTGCTCTGGAGAAGCAGCTGGGTCTGGTTTCCTACAGAAGGAATTAGCAAGAAACTGAATTAAAGTATATAATAATCTACTGATGGCATCTGAGGTGAAAGCTATAACAAAGAAGCATCAATTTTCTTTCTTCAGAGCTGATATTCTAATGGAGATTTCTGCTTTTCATTATGTTAAGTTTTTTGTTGTAAGCCTATCCTTTTGAATTTATTAATGCTGCTGGAGAGCATTGCATGGATATTGGGGCAGCAAGATTTTTGCAGGCAAGTTCAGAGAAAAGAAAAACTAGAATCAGCTATTTTCCCTATTGAAATTTTTCATTCAAAGGTAGTAGGAGAAACTCTGAAAATCTCAGCATGTTTTCCTGATTTCCCTGGGAATATACAAGTAAAATTTAGTTTGAGCCAAAGGGGTGAAATTCTGTTAAATATCTTGAAAATTGATATCATATTTTTGTGAATTGCAATGTCTACCAATGTCTAACTACCTCAATCATTCTTACTTAAGGAGGCAGTCTCCAACTTCTGGGACTCACTCAAACTGACCTCCTTGATCTGACTTGACTTGATTTACCTATCTATACCAACTGCCTGTCTAATTCTAATTCGTGTCTCAATAAGTCACACAGAAACAGTATTCCCACTGCTTGAATCCCAGGTCATATAGCCACACAAAATGCAGACTTTCTCTATACCACCATCTTGGATCTCCTTCTTTTTTTCATTTTATTTATTTATTAATGTTAATTTGATAACTCTGAAAAAGTTTCAAGGATAATATAAAATTTTAGTTAGAGTTACATTCGTATTGATGAACATGATGGTGGAATTCACTGTGATGTTTTCATATGTGCCCATGGGAAAATTATGTCAGATTCATTCCACTGTCCTTTCTTTGTCTATTCCTCTCCTTCTCTCTATCTCCAATTGAATGTATTTTTATTTTAATTGGTATCTTGGGGGAAAATTTATTAAGCAGAAATAGCAATATTACACTGAATATGAAACTCAGTAATCCTACATTCCCATGTTTATTGTGGCACAATTAAGAATAGCTATGGTATGGAATCACCCCAGCTGCTCACTGAAAGACAAATTCATAAAGTATAACATATATATATATATATATATATATATATATATATATATCCATAAAGAAGAATGAAATCCTGTTTGCATCAAAATGGATGGAACTTTAAGACATTGTGTTTTGTTTACTAAGCCAGATACAGAAAGACAATAACCCATGTCCTCTATCATATGTGCAAGCCAAAAGGAGTCCACTGGGAAAATAAACAGGAGATTGATACATGATGTAGGTCATATTTATAGTACTAGATATGTTCAATTTGGTATAAAAATTCTTACACATGAAGTGAAGAAAGATGTGTGTTTTGTGATTAATTTCTGTAATGTATATAGGTTAAATTTCTACTTTGGAAAAAAAGGCAAAACCAATTTTCATTTATGTAGAACAGAATCAAACATTGATTTACAAGTTATCTTATTACTTACTTTTCTTATTGCCACACCTCAAAATGAGAACTTTTCATAAAATTATTGGCATGTATTCTTCAAAAATATCTTTACCATGGAATACAAAAAAAAACTAAAAAATTAGTAAGAAACATTAATAAACATGAGAACTGAACACAGCACATTATCATACATTTTTTTTACAGTGAATTGATGAACTCAGCCTAATTCCATCTTAATATTGGGAGCCATCTCATCACAAAGTCATGAAAAATTAATTTCTGTTTTACTATATATTACTGCGATGTCTAAACTTGTTTGAATTTCTCCTCATGCCTGGAACTCACCCATGCCTGACTTTTCCCGATCAGATAACAACCCTCTCTGAAACCACAGTGGTGCCTCATGAATTCTGATGTTTGGATCTGAATTGATTCTCTACCTTGGAATGTTAAGCCATGTAGATCATTAACTTATTATCTGCTTTTGTATTATGCTAGTCAAACCCTATTAGCTGTAAGTTCTCATGATACCCCTTTTGCAACTTTGTGTTCTATAAAATCTTGTTCCTGAAGAGCTGGGGTGCTTATCTCTAGCCCAGCTTAAGAAGAGAAAGCCACTGGCCAGCTTTCTTTGTGGAAAAAATATAAATTTGCTTTAATTTGATTTAAAATTATAGTCGATGGTATTTGCTTTAGAATGTAGTTCAACATGAATGACATATTTAGTAAAATTGGTAAAAATTTGATAATATACAGATAATACACTATATAATCATATTACATCAAGGTGGATTTATGGAATTTGGCAACAGCACTGTAGTTACATATGAAATTCCTGAAAATATTTTAGGAGTAATGGTACACATTACATTATCCACCTACTCCTAACTACTCATTCAGACAGATTTGATAAATTTAGGCATAAATAGGTCTAAAGGAGGGAATATAGTAAAATAGTGGCATTTAAAAATCTGGTTTAGGGTTACCTGGCAATTATTCTTTGTTGGCATCCATAAAGTCAGGGCGTGTGCAAGTAAATGGATGGAGTTGGAGAATAACATGCTAAGTGAAGTAACCTAATCCCCCAAATCAAAGGCCAAATGTCTTCTCTGATATGTGGATGTTGATACAGAATGGGGGGGGGGGATGGGAGGAGTTGAGGGACTTTGAAAAGGGCAAAATGGGAGGGAGCAGAAGGGAGGCAGTCTGGGTGTGGGAAAGATGGTGGAATGCTATGGACATCATTACCCTAAGTACATGTATGAAGACACAAATGGTGTGACTCTACTTTGTGTACAACCAAAAAATAAAAAATTGTGCCCTATATGTGTACTATGAATTAAAATGTATTCCTCTGTCATGTATAACAAATTAGAAAAATATATTTAAGAAAAATTTAAAAAGTGAAAATAAGAAAAAAGAAAAAAACACCCCCATACAAATACAAAAATAAAAGTGAAAACAATTTAAACTAATTCTCATAATAATTCACTAAAAGAAACATTAACAGAATCAAACACAAAAACACCTAGGACTAAACATCATAAGGCTATGTATGATCATTGAGAGATATCAGAGATGTTCCTCATAAGTCAATTTCCCCCATATTCATGTGTAGTCTAAATCCAATGTCAACCTAAATAACATATAGAGTTGCTTCTAAAATGTATGTAAAATGCATATGGCCAAGTATGACTAATGCATTAGGAAAGAAAAACTACACAATTAGAGGAGGACCTGTAAAGTTATCGTTAAAGGAGACTTACTCAGACATGCTATGAAGTTATAACAATTAAGGGTGTAAGGACTGCTGTAAGGATACACAAACAATAGAATTGAATGGAACAGACTATTGAATGAGTAAGAAAATCTGCACCCTATTTATTTCAAAGGTGACGTTTGGGTTGGGAAAAGCCTTTTCAGTGATGATCTGAGTCAAATTGCTTCCCAAGCAATAATGTGTAATTTTTCTTCATATCATACACACCCTTAAAATATCAACCTCAGAAAGATTGTACAATTTTTGCAAAAGAAAAGGATTAAACATGTATAACATACCCTAGGAGAATATTTTTATGTTCTTATGGTAGAAAGATTCTATTTAGTGTACAAAAAATGTTGACAATCTGTGTTTCATTAAGAACTACATTTGACACCTGAAAGAATACCATATTAAGAGAGTGATAGTAAAAGGCAAGGGTTAAAAATCTGATACATATCTACACCAGAAGCTATTACCATGAAAATATGTAGGATCATTATTTGGGAAGACAACAAGCATCAAATCTCAATATCACTTGAATGTATCCATACATGGTCACGTGGTCATTCAGCAGAAAACTCAACAGCAATAAAAATAAAGCTCTGCTACAAATAGCTAAATGGGTAAACTCTAAGCACAATGTAGAGTCAAAGTAGATACAACAAGAGAAGATACTGCATGATTTTACATAATGGTCAAATCTGACAAAATTTTTCTTTGGCAGCTGAAGTCAGAGGGGAGGAGGACTCAGTGACCTGAGGAATGTGCAGCAGGTGACTTCTGAGAGCTGCTAATGTTCTCCGATAGTGCAAGGTAAGAAAATTCCCAGAGTTTTCATGCATTGTTACACAGTGTTCCATATGAATTTCAATAAATAATAATGCTTACTTAGAACTATTCCTCTTAAAACCACTTGGCAGGGCCTAAAAGATAAATGATCATTAAGAAGAATCATATTTTATTATGGAACATCAGCTCTCCATGCTCTCTGCTCTTAGAGACATGCCACTCAAGTACCAGTCAGCAATAACCTCTCTTACCTGAGCAGACCACAGAGGCTGTGTTTCCATGGGCACAGGCAGGAACACCCAGGGCAGTCACAGGGCAATTCCACAAGAAGGACTCAGACCCTGAGCAGTGAAATCTGTCTCTCCAGATCTCATCTTCTCCTTCCACAAAGTATTCTCCTTTTGGGGTGGAAGTAGCGACTCCACAGCCCAGCTGACGGCAAACAACATTGGCATTGGCCATATTCCAGTTGGAGGCACAGAGTGTTCTCCAGCCTCCAGAGGTCTTCATCTCCACTTGACCCTCACACTGAGAGCTGCCATTTTTCATGAGCCGAACATCTGTATATCCTGGTAGAAGACTGGGTGTTAGTAACATCCCACATTTTTCTTACCTACCTCAGAGTTATAGGGGGATTAACATCCTTCTGGGATTCTCACCTGAGCAGATAACTTGCACAGCCCCTCTGTGTGGGCAGCTTCCTGCAGGACAGGGAACTCTGGGGCAGAACCAAAGCTCAGGCTCCTGCCCCTCACACTGGAACTCTTCAGCCCAGACCAATTCACCAGGATCTCTGGTGGGCAGGTTCCCTAGGACAGATGCAGCCTGGCCACACCCCAGCTCTGCACAAATGACCTGGGCTGTGGGTAATGTGAAATTCCCATCAGAAACTGGAATCCACCCTCCTCCAGAATTCACTTCCACTCTCCCAGAGCAGCGTCCAGCTCCTCCTTCCAAACGCACAAATCCTAAGGAAGAAAATAACTATTAAAATGAATATCTCAGCTTGGAATTCGGAGCTACATGTCTCAGGCAATGCTTGAGAGCTTTACTTTACTCAGGGTGTGGGGAATGGATTCAACAGTTGGTATCAGAATGGGCATTCCAGGAGCAAATATTTGAAGACAAATTTAGGAAGAGGAATTTAAATGATGAGTTCTGAAAATATTATTGACTCAAGTCTATTTCTACTCCTTTTTTTTATAGGATCTTGAATTTGAAGTCAAGTTTAAAAGATGAAGCTTAATTTTCAACATTTTATCCTCAAAAACTTTTACTTCACTAAAAAACCTCCAACTAAGTTGACAATTGTTAATAAATTTAAAAAAATTCAAAATTTATCAAAAACTGACAGTACATATCTATTTCTCATTTATAAATATATATGGATGAAGAAAGAGTCCACTGAATCTTGTGAGGCTGAGATGAAATCAGGTTATTTTTAAAAAAATAATCAGGGTTCTTTACATTATATTTCCTATTACAGAAGACAAAAGGAAAGTTTATATTTACAATCACAAGTTACAAAAAGGAGGTTACCAAGATTTTTAAGCATTTTTTTTTGCCTTTTAAAAAAATTTGTTTCAAGGGATTATTTTGTTACTAATAAGTGGAGTTGGAAGAAGCCACTGGATACCTATTGAAGCTCATCAGGAAGAGACTTCAAGTATGGGTTCAGATCTTTGGATAAGGTTTTGGGCACAGGTATGGAAAAGTAATGTTTATGTGATGAAGAATTTCAGCAGGACATTCTTGTTGAAAAGAATTTTGTAAGACTTCAAAATGAAATAAATATTAAAATAATTAATTTACTAAAGTAATTTTTTTACTTAAAGCATTATAATTAGAATATTCTTTTTTCTTGTGTTAGGGATGTGGCTCAAGCAGTAGCACGCTCGCCTGGCCTGGCATATGCATGGTGCTGGGTTCGATCCTCAGCACCACATACAAATAAAGATGTTGTGGCTGCCTAAAACTAAAAAAAAAATATTAAAAAATTCTCTCTCTCTCTCTTAAAAAAAGAATATTCCCATTTCTCTCTGGAACTGTTGTATTAACATCAAATATGGATTTGTGACCTTGTAATCACAAAGACTTAATTTGTATCATTATTACAGAGTGATGACAATGTACCTTACTTGGAAAGTCACAATAAAAGTACAAAATTTCAAACTGAAATGAGTATACTTTCAGATGGTATGCTTTACAGAGTATGAGATCTTCCGGTGTCATAAAAAATCAGCTATCAATATTGGTGTCCAATGAGAAGAACGATAAAGATCAGCCTCCAGAACAGAAACCATCACTGCAGGCTCTCCCTGTGGATGCAGCCAGGTCTTGTTCTCTGTGGATTCTGGTTTCCATTCAGGACATCTCCACACTAGGGTTTAACACCACCCCCACCACAACGATGAGTTGTGCGTGGCTGATTAAAGTCTGGCTCAATTAGATACACAAAGTTGTCTTCAGAAGCATTACTTCTTTTTCATTTAATTGTACATGGTATATTTCTAGCTCATGATATAAAATGTCTCAATTTAGATAGAATACATTACTTTTGAATTCTGAGACAATTTAGTAGAATATCTGATTGTAGTGTTCTCCAGTTGTAATGTTATGTTGGTATGTTTTCTTAGGCAATTAATTCTGTTGCAATGTCAAATCTTCCCAGGGAATTGTGTAATTTTCACTAATGAAAATTGTAAGCTTTTCAGATAAAGAAATAGATCACCCAATGCAGGTTTTATCTTTGCTGTTCTACTCTTAACATATCAGAGAGACCTAATCCAGTTACAAGCCTGGGAAGGTGAAGAGTAAAATTTATACAGAACATGTACTCAGAAAGTCAACTGAGTATCTGTCATTGTTCTGAACAGAGATCCTGAGGTGTTCAGAGGGCAGTGTTGTTGCAAACTCAACAATATTTTTATTCATATTTTAAACTGTATTAATTATTTGTTGTTTTCTAGGCATTATTAATGAAATAACATACATAGAGAAAACTCAAACTTTTTTTCGACACTACTTGATTTAGAAATTAGAATCAGCTACCATCTACACAGAGATGATCCCCACTTGTTATTCTCAGGAAATCAGTTACTCTGTTGTACTTAATGAAATATGAATAGAACAGTCAAAGTGTGGTTCAGGTACAGGTATATGTTGTTCTGTAAACCCAGATCCCCTCATTCCATAGATAGGTATTAATATAGACTACATAGTTCTTCAGCTAAGTATGCATTTCTTATATCACAGTCGTTTAGAAATCCTCATTAGTACTATTAGCAAAAATACATATCAGTTTTGATAAAATATCAATGGTATAAAGGGATTTGGAAAACAATGATTTTCCTACTCGTTGTCATTACCAGATAGTTTAGATAAATAGTACCACTATTATATTGTCAACCCCTCTTTACAACTGGCTTATTTATACAAAATATACTCTCAAATAAAACTAAGGTGAGTTGGAAGCAGTGGCACACACCTGTAATCCCAGTGTCTCAGGTTGCTGAGGTAAGAGAATTGTGAGTTCAATGCCAGCCTCAGCAATAGCAAGGCACTATGCAACTCAGTGAGAGCTTGTTTCTAAATAATATATAAAAAAGGGCTTAAGATGTGATTCAGTGTCTGATATATCTCCCCAAAGTTCAATGTATGATATATCTCCCCAAAACAAAAGGCAAAAAAAGTGCCATATTGAACCTATTCACTCAGTCTGAACAATCTATAGTCTCCAAATCCCAGAGGTCTGAATGTTGAGGTTGTGTCATCTGGGCCTCTAGTATATGAAAACATAGTTATCTGTTATTTATTCAGAGTAGACCTTATTCTTAAATCATGAGGAAAAACTGAATGAAGGCTTCAACTTTATTGATGAGGCCTAAATTTCCATTTATGTATCCACATGTCCCCTCATCCATCACTCCAAAATTCTACTATTCTCTATAGGGCATAGAACTGTGTCACCTGAGTACATGGGAATGTCTACATCAGCTGTTGGAACGTGGAATATATCAGTGCTGCTGGAGAGCATTGCACAGCTCCCAGGGCAGTTAGATTTTTGGAGTCAAGTACAGAGAAAGGAAAAACTAGAGTCAACCATTTTCTTCTATAGGCATTTCTCATTCAAAGGCAGTAGGAGAAACTCTGACAATCTCAGCATGTTTGCCTGATTTCCCTGGGACTACATCAGTATAATTTAGTTTGGGCCAAAGAAATGAAATCCTGTGAAACATCTTGAAAACTAGTATCATATTTAATGGATTGAAAGTAGAGTTTTTCTTTTAGATGATACCAGATATCTAACCACCTCAATCACTTTTATTTAAGGTGATCTACCCTAAGTTAACTTCATAGAGGAAGCAAAATACCTTTCTGAAAGTTTCATAGGATTGGCATCTTGGCAGATAAATTATAAAAAAATCCAATAAATATTTGAGAGTTGTATGAATTTTGAAGTCAGAAGCTAAAAATAAGAAGCCAGTGGATGAGTCTAAGAACATGGTAGATTAGCACAAAATAAAAATAGTAAATGGAAGAACATGAGAAAATACAGAGTGAAGCACAGAAATAAAAAAGGATAGGAAATACAATAGGGAACTAAGAGACATGGTGAGAGAAACTAACAGTCCTAATACTCTACAAGTTTTAGGTACTTAAAGCTGCTATTTTTGTTAAAAATTCATGGCTCTTTTAAGTTACATGTAACAGAAAAATCCATTTTAGTATAATTATATAAGCATGGAATATATATCATTGCAGTTAGAGTTACATTCTTATTGATGCACATGATGGTGGGATTCACTGTGGTGTTTTCTTATGTGCCCATGGGAAAATTATGTCAGATTCATTCCACTGTCTTTACTTTCCCTCTCTCCTTCCCTCTATCTCTCATTGTCTAATCTACTGCATTGCTATTTTTCCTCTCACTGCCACCTAACTAACCCCTTATTGTGGGTTAGCTTCCACAAATTAGAGAAAACATTTGAACTTTGGTTTTATAATGCTAGGTAGAAATCAGAAAATATGTGGGATATTTAATACACCTGTAGTTTTTAATAATATAAATAAAATCTGTGATACTCTATCCATTGACTTGTGGAGTTCATTCCTCTTAGCCCCCAATCTGGGTTGACAGTGGTGAGTTAGTTGTCTATAAGCAACAGAATGTGGTGAAGCCAGCATGGCTTGACTTGGAAACCTAGCTAACAAAGACATGCCTCCTCCTCTTGACTTAGTAAGAAGTTTACTTTATAGGAAATCTACTCTGTAGACCATCATGTGGGAGAGAGCATTTGCACATGGTTCAGCCAGTAGCCTCAGTTAAACATGAAGCTACCAGGCATGTGAATGAACTATCCTGGATTCCCATCTTGGCAAAGACTTCAAATGACCTGAGTTCCAGATGAAATACAAGTGCAACCTCACGAGAGACCCCAAGAGGCAACTTCCAAGAGCCTTTGGCAAATTCATGATTCTGGAAATCATGAGAAAAAATGCAATTTATTTTTATTTGAATTGGTATCTTGGGGGAAAAATTTATTAAGCAGCAATCCAGCCAAGATTACACTGAATCTCAGTAATCCTACCTTCCTTTGTGTGTTGTGGCACTATTTAGAATACCTATGGTATGGAGTCACCCCAACTGCTCACAGAAAGACAAATTAATAAAGTATAAGTGCTATATTAATAGCCAAAAAGAAGAACAAAATCCTGTCATATTCAAAATAAAAAAGAACTGGATGACATTGTGTTTTGTTTACTAAGCCAGATACAGAAAAACAAAACCCATGTCCTCTATCATATGTGCAAGTCAAAAGGAGTCCATCAAAAAATAGAAAGGAGATTGCTACAGTGTGTAGGTCATATTTATAGCACTAGATATGTCCAATCTGGCATAAAAATTCTTGTGCATAAGTTAAGAAAGATGTGTATTTTGTGATAAATTCTCTAATATATATAGTGTAAATTTCTACTTTGGAAAAAAAATCAAAGCCAATTTTCATTTATGTAGAACAGACTCAAACATTGATTTACAAGGTCTCTTATTACTTACTTATTTTGCTTATTGCCATAGCTCAAAATGAGAACTTTTCATAAAATTATTGGCTTATATTCTTCAAAAATATCATGGGATACAAAGAAAAATTAAAAGAGTTTTGTAGTAAGAAACATAATCTTATGTTGAACTGAATGCAACACATTACTCTACATTTTTACCATGAATAACATATTTAGTAAAATTAGTAAAAATCTGAACAAGACCAATACACTATGTAATTATGTTACGTCAAGATGGATTTATAAAACTTTGTAATAGCACTGTGGTTACATATGAAATTCTTGAAAATATTATAGGAGTAATGAGACACATTACATTATCCACCTACTCTTAATTACTCATTCAGAAAGATTTGATAAATTTAGGCATAAATGGATCAAAGGAGATAATAAAATAAAATAGTGGCATTTGGAAATCTGGTTTAAGATTACCTGGAAATGTTATACTATCCTTAAAACATTTTCATAATTACCAATTTAAAATTAATAAATAAATTAAATGAAAGAAAGCAAAAAGAAAAACCCCATACAAAAAATAAAATTGGAAACGATTTAAAGTCACTCCTATAATATTTCACCAAAAGAAACTTTAACAGCCTCAAACACAAAAACACCTAGGACTAAACATCATAAAGGCTCTGTATGATCTTTGAGAGATATTAGAGATATATCTCATAAATCAATTATCTCCATATTCATGTGTAGTCCAAATCCAATATCAATCTAAATAACATCATACTTTTATTTGTAGTAAACATATAGAGCTGCTTCTAAAATGTATGTAAAATGCATATGACCAAGTATGACTAATGCATTAGGAAAGAAAAACTACACAATTAGAGGAAGTACTACTGTAAAGTAATCTTTAAAGGAAACTTACTCAGACATGCATGAAGTTATAATAATTAAGGACACAAGGACTGCTGTAAGGATACACAAACAACAGAACTGAATGGAACAGACTACCGAATGAGTAAGAAAATCTGCACCGTTTATTTCAAAGGTGACCTTATGGTTGGGAAAAGCCTTTTCAGTGATGATCTGAGTCAAACTGCTGCCAAAGCAATAATGTGAAATTTTTCTTCACATCATACACACCTTTACAATATCAACTCCAGAAAGATTGTACAATTTTTGCAAAAGAAAAAAGGAATTAAACATGTATAACATACCCTGGGAGAATATTTTTATGCTCTTAAGGTAGAAAGATTCTATTTAGTGTACAAAAATGTTGACAATCTGTGCTTCATTAAGAACTACATTTGACACCTGAAAGAATACCATATTAAGAGAGTGAAAGTAAAAGGACAAGTGTTTAAAAATCTGATATAAATACATACATATCTACACCAGAAGCTATTACCATGAAAATATGTAGGATCATTATCTGGGAAGTCAACAAGTGTCAAATCTCTTTTTTAAAAAATATTTATTTATTTATTTATTTATTTTTAGTTTTCGGTGGACACAATATCTTTGTTTGTGTGTGGTGCTGAGAATCTAACCAGGGCCACATGCATGCCAGGCAAGTGCGCTACCACTTGAGCCACATCCCCAGCCTCTCATATCTCAATATCACTAATGTATCCATATATGGTCATGTGGTCATTCAGCAGAAAACTCAACAGCAATAAAAATAAAGCTCTGCTATAAATAGCAAAATGGGTAAATTCTAAGCACAATGGAGAGTCAAAGTAGATACAACAAGAGAAGATACTGCAGGATTTTACATAATGGTCAAATCTGACAAAATTTATCTTTGGCAGCTGAAGTCAGAGAGGAAGAGCACTCAGCGACTGGAGGATTGTGCAGCAGGTGACTTCTGAGAGCTGCTGATATTCTCAGATAGGGCAAGATAAGAAATTTCCCCGAGTTTTCATGCATTGTTATAAAGTGTTCTGTATGAATTTCAATAAATAATAATGTTTACTTAGAACTATTTCACTTAAAACTGTGTGACAGGGCCTAAAAGATAAATGATCATTAAGAAGAATCATTTTTTATTATGTAACATCAGCTCTCCATGCTCTCTGCCCTTAGAGACATGCCACTCAAGTACAAGTCAGCCCTGACCTCTCTTACCTGAGCAGACCACAGAGGCTGTGTTTCCATGGGCACAGGCAGGAACACCAAGGGCAGTCACAGGGCAATTCCACAAGAAGGACTCAGACCCTGAGCAGTGGAATCGTTGTCTCCAGATCTCATCTCCTTCTTCCACAAAGTACTCTCCTTTTGCGGAGGCGATGGCAACCCCACAGCCCAGCTGATGGCAGACAACATTGGCATTGGCCATATTCCAGTTGGAGGCACAGAGTGTTTTCCAGCCACCAGAGGTCTTCATCTCCACTTGACCTTTACACCGAGAGCTGCCATTTTTCATGAGCCGAACATCTGTATATCCTGGTAGAAGACTGGGTCTTAGTAACATCCCACATTTTTCTTACCTACCTCAGAGTTATAGGGTGGTTAACATCCTTCTGGGATTCTCACCTGAGCAGCTAACTTGCACAACCCCTCTGTGTGGGCAGCTTCCTGCAGGACAGGGCACTCTGGGGCAGAACCAGAGCTCAGGCTCCTGCCCCTCACATTGGAACTCTTCAGCCCAGACCAATTCACCAGGATCTTTGGTGGGCAGGTTCCCTAGGATAGATGCAGCCTGGCCACACCCCAGCTCTGCACAAATGATCTGGGCCATCCGGAAGGTGAAATTCCCATCAGATACTGGAATCCACTCTCCTCCAGAATTCACTTCCACTCGACCAGAACAATGTCCAGCTCCTCCTTCCAAACGCACAAATCCTAAGGAGGAAATTAAATATCAAAATGAGTATCTCGGCTTGAAATTTGGAGCTACATGTCCAAGGCAATGCTTGAGAGTTTTTCTTTTCCCAGTGTGTTGGGAGTGTATTGAACATTTTGTATCAGAATGAAAATTTCTGGAGCAAGTGTGTGAAAACTAATGTACAAGGAGGAATTTAAAAGATCAATTCTGAATTATCGATTGAAGAAATAAATGTATATTTATAAAACTGTGAATGTGTTTGTATGAGTAATATATGTGTTTTTGCTTTTTTCTATATGAACATACTATACTTTATACTAAAAAGATACCTGTGTGTGTGTCTGTATATCCGTCTCTATCAGTCTACTTCCTTTTTTTATACTACCTACATCAATCAATTGAATTTGCACTCCAGTAGAAAATAACTGGGCTTAATTTTCACAATTTTATCCTCAAGAACTTTTTCTTCACTAAAAAATTCAACTAACTTATCATTTCTTAATGAATTAAAATATCAATAGGTATCAACAACTGACAATTTATATTTATTTTCCATTTAGAGATGAGGGAAGAGTCCACCAAATAGTGTGAGACTGAGGTGAAACAAGGTTATTTTGACTAAAATAATCAGGGTTTTTATATCATATTTACTAAGACAGCCAGAGAATTTAGAAGTAGGAAGAGAAGTATACACACACACACACACACACACACACACACACACACACACAGGAAGTTATCAAGAGATTTGAGTATGATTTTTGAATCTTTGTTTCATTTTGTTTTGAGGGACTATTTTCTTACTAATAAGTGGAGTTGGAAGAAGCCATTAGATATCTATTCGATCTCATCAGGGAGAGATTTCAACATACATCTAGACCTTTGGGCAGGCATTTGGCCACAGGTATGGAAAAGAAAGTAAGCAAGTTTATGTCTTGAAGAAGTTCATCAGAGAATTCTTGCTGAAGAGAATAATATGATCAGTGATTATTTTTCCAAAGTAAGCCTAGAAAATGGAATTAAAATCAAAAGTATTAATCTACTTTATTAAAAATTTACTTAAAGAATTGTAATTAGAATAGTATAATTTTTCTTTATTTTATTTTTTTTATTGTTGGTCGTTCAAAACATTACATAGTTCTTAATATATTATATTTCACAGTTTGATTCAAGTGGGTTATGAACTCCCAATTTTACCCCGTATAAAGATTGCTGTATCACATCAGTTACCCTTCCATT